TGTTTATTGCTATGTTTTATCACCCGAAGAATTTCATATTTCCAGAAGATACATTCCTTCAAATGTTTAAGTCAGAAATAAGCCTGACATGTTAAATATGTTCATGCCATTCCAATTAGAAATTACAGTGGCATGTTGCACTTCAATCTCACAACAGGTGGAGCAATATGAAGATCCAATGTTACATCACTGGAAACGCCACACAGAGCTGCTCCAGACCCTGAAACAGTGCTGACATCTCCTGCACCCAGGGACCTTCTGACCCTCTAGCAGGTGATGAAGTCTCCAGGCATATTTGGATACCTGCCACTATGTTACCATAAGGAAAGAATGCAAAACATCTGTTATTTTGATAAATCCTTTTTTCTGTAGTCTCTCTCAGACACCAGACATGGCAAAAACCAATTTTCTGAAATAGAAATTATTCTGAAAATGACTGCATTGAGTTGGAACTAATTCATTTTTCCTCACTATAACGCTTGACCAACTGAGTCAGCTGTGTTCATCCTTACAGGAAGCAAGTTCAATATACATGTACGTTTTTATTATAGCCAAACTGTATATTCCTTCTCTAAATTTTACTCTTTAGTTTCCCTTTGAGATTTTGCCAATGGAGATGGAGACATAGCAATATGGGTTATGAAAATACAATACATATATACAGTACTTAGGTCTGTAAACTTATGGGTTGCTCTGTATCCTATAGCTCATGCAAACAGGGTGCCTGCCTATGTCTGAATAAAACATGAAATGCCCCACAGTGCACACTGAAACAAAATTTTGCTCAAGTTTGGAAGTGTTTATTTAAATGCTACAAACTTCCTTAGGTACGGTCCTTTTCATAAACCTCTATATTTCATATGTGTATATATATATATATATATGTATATATGAGGCTAAGCAGTATGGAAAGAACAGGGTTCTCATAGAAAAATTGTCACAGTTCAGCTTGAGTTGACCCTGGCTCCTGGCTGAGTCAACCATGGCTCACAGGAATTTGAGCATGAACCCCCATCACGGTGGAGCTCAGAACATCGTTCACTGCCTTGGACAGACGGGGTGAGCCCCTGAGATGTGAGAATTTTCCATTCCCTTCCCAGCAAGCCTACACAAATCCTCAGCCCTGACTGCTGGCAATTACATGACAAAAGTATGGTCCAGAATGTGCTTTTTTTTTCCCTTTCATTTTTTCAATTCTATCATAACATGCAAATTAGCCTAGTTAGAAGCTTGGGATCAGCATTCTTTGTTAGTTTTCTCTTCCTCCAAGCACTACAGAAACCATAGCTAAAAAATATGCCTGCAATGTCCCCTTCACAGTGCTTACAACAGAATAGAGACAGAAAATTCAAGAGAAATTCATACACATCAGTAGCTATAATTCATCAGCCCATGCAGTGCCTTGTTGAGGCTTCTAATGACAAGCCCCAAAATAATGTGGAAGAGGGAAGTAATTGTGATTCTTTTGCCTCACAGGAGTGTGCAGAATTCTTGTAAATTCATGAAGCTACATACAATTCACAATAAACACCTAAAGTTAAATGAGAAAGATGATCAACCTTTTCTGCAAGTTGTGGCTGAAATGAGTACATGAATTGGGTGTCTAAGGTTCTCTAGACTAGTACAGACTTCATCGTGCAGCTTATAAAAGCAATTATTTTAGGTCTTTATTTTCAGCATTGACTTCTACTGAATTTTTTATTTAAGGAACAATAGACTGTCTTTCCTACCATCAGTATGTCTGAGACTCTAAACCTTTTTATTTATGCTTTATTAAGCATTCAGTTGCAAATTACTGCAGTTGACCTAGAATGTTTTATTCCCTTATTTTAAATATCTCTGAAAGTTTTGTCTCACTCATCACTTATTCACTCTATGTTACTCCCTGCAACAGGCTATAGCCAAAATAGTCATCTAGATACCTAAACTGGAAATATACTGGGGAAAAAATAAAATAATTAAAAAAATAATATATATATATATATATGTAAAGACTTTTTATATTGATGACAGCTCAAAGTATTTCAAGGTGCTGATCATTTGCAGTTCCTATAATTTAAACATCAGTTGAGAATAGGTGTCTCAGGGCCTTTGAAAAACAGACTGCCAGATGCTTTTATACTTCTGTGTTTGTACCTCATCTACCGCATCTAATGTGTGATCCCTAACTAGCATTTCAAGAATGATAACAAATAAAGATGACAAGATGCTAGGAATACATTTAAGTACAAACAATATCAGATTCATCTCATTCTGTTTAAGGAACCTCTATTACCAGGACTATCATCCTAAACTACTAATAAAAATACTTAATGGAGGCAATTCTAGAGGCAACTCAGACCACTTGAGATCTAAAACTTTAAAGTAATCATAGGCAGTAGGGGAAGAAGAAGAATGAAGGGGAAAAATAATCAATAAGAAAAACAAAAATGACTGCAGATCTGTGTATAAGTAACCTTCTAATTCTCTCACTCCTTTAAAACTGTGCAACAGAAATCTTAAAAATTAACTATTTATCACTAGTATATTAAACAACAATATTTATCAAGTTATTGATCATTAATTCTCAAACACTGAAACATGAAGGGAAAAGTTGAGAAATATCTTTAAATAAATTATTCAGAGTGAAAGGGGAGAAAAAATCTTCAGAGATTATTCTTTCTTTGTACTGAACGGAAAACAGTCTTTTCTAATTATTCAAGTAACTGATTAGGTACCAGCTAGGAAGACTACACATTCTAGAGTAAAATTTTGCCCTAAATCTGTGCATATAGCTCTAGTAATCCCACTGGTAGGAATTATGAACATACTCTACAGCTGTATAGGCCATTATGCCATTGTCACACCTACTAAAATCAGAGCAATGCATAGAATTCCTGTTTCAGAATTGCCAATGTAAAATATATTCATATAATTACAACTTATGTTGCCTAAGTAGCCATTTTAATAGTTATCTTCTTTTTCAATTTGAATGATTTTGTATTCTAGCTGTATATCTGAAGTTCTGGAAAAGGAGTTCACAGAATCACGGAATCGTCTAGGTTGGAAGAGACCTTCAAGAACACCTAGTCCAACCTCTGACCTAACACTAACCAGTCCTCCACTAAACCATATCACTAAGCTCTACATCTAAATGTCTTTTAAAGACCTCCAGGGATGGTGACTCAACCACTTCCCTGGGCAGATCATTCCAACGCCTAACAACCCTTTCGGTAAAGAGGTATTTCCTAATATCCAACCTAAACCTTCCGTGGAGCAACTTTAGCCCATTACCCCTCAACCTGTTGCCAGGCATGTGGGAGAACAGACCAATCCCCACCTCGCTACAGCCTCCTTTAAGGTACCTATAGAAAGCAATAAGGTCGCCCTGAGCCTCCTTTTCTCCAGGCTGAACAATCCCAGCTCCCTCAACCACTCCTCGTAAGACTTGTTCTCCAGGCCCCTCACCAGCTTCGTTGCCCTTCTCTGGACTCTCTCATGCACCTCCACGTCCTTCTTGTAGTGAGGGGCCCAAAACTGAACACAGTACTCGAGGTGCAGCCTCACCAGAGCCAAGTACAGGGGGACAACCACTTCCCTAGACCTGCTGGCCACACTGCTTCTTATACAAGCCAGGATGCCGTTGGCCTTCTTGGCCACCTGAGCACACTGCTGGCTCATATTCAGCCGACTATCAACCAATGCTCCCAGATCCTTTGCCAGGCAGCTCTCCAACCACTCATCTCCCAGCCTTTAGCTTTGCTTGGGGTTGTTGTGCCCCAGGTGCAGGATCCAGCACTTGGCCTTGTAGAACTTCATACAGTTGGCCTCAGCCCATCGGTCCAGCCTATCCAGATCCTCCTGCAGAGCCTTCCTACCCTTGAGCAGATTGACACACGCACCTAACTTGGTGTCATCTGCAAACTTACTGAGGGTGCACTCGATCCCCTCATCCAGATCATCGATAAAAAGGACTGGCCCCAGTACTGAGCCCTGGGGGACACCACTAGTGACTGGCCTCCAGCTGGACTTGACTTCATTCACCACGATTCTTTGGGCCCCTCTATCCAGCCAGTTTTTAACCCAGTGAAGCGTACGCCAGTCCAAGCTGTGAGCAGCCAGTTTCTTGAGGAGAATGTTGTGGGGAATGGTGTCAAAGGCCTTACTGAAGTCAAGGTAGACCACATCCACAGCCTTTCCTTCATCCACCAAGCACATCACTTTATCATCAAAGGAGAACAGGTTCGTCAAGCAGGACCTGCCTTTCATAAACCCATGCTGACTGGGCCTGATTGCCCTGCAACTGCCACATGATGACACTCAAGATAATCTGCTCCATGAGCTTCCCTGGCACTGAGGTCAAACTGACAGGCCAATAGTTCCCCGGGTCTACCCTTCGGCCCTTCTTGTAGATGGGTGTCACATTTTCTAGCCACCAAACGTGTTGTTGGAACTCTCATTCATAAAACCTTCCTGCAGACACAAGAGAAACTTTCCTCTTTTTCAGACCTTTGCAAACAAACAAACAAACGAACAAAACAAAAAAAAAAACAAACACAAAAACAAAAAAATCAAACTGAAATGTCTGCAAAAACTTGCTTAGTCTTTGGATGCTAGAAATGAATTTAAGGACATGAACTTAGGACATTTTTCTATTTAATGACTTCTGAATTCCTACCAAGTGTTAAGAATAGACACAAGATAATCCACACTATGCAGTAGGATATTCTTCATGGCATTTCTGGCCTAGATTTCAGCCCCAGCCTCACACGTAGATACACAGTAACCTCTGTTGCAGATAGCAGTCTCGATAAATACTTTTTACTATAATGTATGCTATTAAGGTCTCCCATGAATACAAAGCCATGTTCACCTGTCTACACAATATCCATTCTGTTCAGCTTTAAGCTTCTTAATTTTGTCTGGGATATTACTACCAATTTGATAGGCATCACAACATTTTAAGAGAAGTACATTGATTACTTAACATAAAAAATTGATTCTATTATTTGATGACTTACCTTGCCAACAGATCTGGGGAATGGTGGTCTTTGATTTTCTGGAATTAATATCGGAGTTGCCAAAATAGCCCTTTTTTGTCTTGGAATTCCAAGGTTGCCTTCTATCTTAAAAATTTCCTAAAAAAGAAAAAGACCAAGTACAATGACTTTCAAAATAGCATTTGTTATTTCCAATCCCTATATCTTCAGGTAAAATGAACATGAACTGCCATGTTCTAAGTTTTATATTATGTGTTTTCCAGTGATTAGTGATAACATATCAAACTATTTAAAACTGTTGATTTATTCCACTTATGACAATAACAGTGGACAGGCCGTATTCATTTTGTATTCCTACTGAGTAGTTTTAAACTTAAGTGTGTCTACCTTCCTAACAAGAGGACTGCTTAACTCATAAATCTTAGACAAGCTTTGGCTTACCTCAAATACTTCCATACGTCCTTTAAAAAGCCACACTTTAAATGTTTTAGATAATTTTTCCATTATCACATTTCAAGTCACCTCTATAGTCAGCCATTTCTCAGTCCACACTTTAGGTCAAACAGAACTTACAGGTGATTTGCTGAGACTGTCCCCAGATAGTGATCTCTCAAAAAGGACCAAAAACTTGTAAGTTAAAAAGCAATGGGCACCAAAACTCAGTGCAACACAGAATATCATACAGTGCGTTTCTTTTACATAGTGAAAACTTCATGTTACTGTATCTGAAAGAACAGTAATAGAAGTGGTTTATGCACAAGCCTGTTCTTTTCCCATTGCATTTTCTGAGGTATTTAGTTCCAGCTGAGCTTCAGGCAATTCAGCATGTTATGAGCTACACCAAACTCTTCAGAGTGGCCTCTAGCCCTTGGAAAACTCTGTCCATCACACCTCTGCCTTCCCTCCCCATCATTTCTCAGTGCACAAACTGAAGCTTTCCAGAGGCCATTTTCTTCATTTTTGCTTCATCCTCCAGCCTCCACAAACCTCTTCTCCAAGCACACTCAGTAACTACCGAGGTCAAAGACAGCCTCTTCCCATGTCCCAGAGCTCTCACCTTGACTCAGACACCTTTCTTTAAAAAAAAATAAAAATAAAAATAAAAAAAAAAAGCACCAATTTATACTGTGTTGGGAATTAATTTTGAAACTGGAAAAGGTTTAGATCACTACAATTTGTTCAGGTTGTCATGACAATTTTGCAAAACAAATCATAGGGTGAAAGAAATGTCTAATTTCAATAAGGTAGTTACATCCTACCATACACTTTTCTCCCCTCTCTTAATACAATAATTTTTCAGTCACTTCTGGAATCCAAGTTGTTGTTTTAATAGCTGCTACTTTATAACCTAAGGACAGCTTCATCTCTATGCTATATTTTTATAAAACTGCAAAGATGAATGAGGTTTCTTGATAGCATGATCTGAACATCAGTCAAGAACTCCACAGGCTGCTCTGCTGCCACCTGCATAGATACCTTCCATCTAGTGAGTATATCACAGCCAGAACACTGATTTACATCTACTAGCTTTAGTGTGACTTTGCAAATTTGATGACAAGCAGCAGCTAGGGAAACAAGCCTACAACTGTCAGCTTTAGACACAGTAAAGTCAAAGAGCAGCGAGAACCATGCAGAGAATCCCTTCTCACGATTTTGCCACTTTTCATAACCTTTTGAGGCTCACCCTGATTTGGAGTTCCCATCTCTCCCAAAGGCTTTGCCACTTCTCTGTAATCTTTTGGTCTGAAGGTCACTTTGGTCCCTATTTTTGTCTTTCAAAAGAACTTTCCCCAATAAAAATTCATGAGAAAGTTCAAGGCAAAAACATTTGAAGTGTCAAATAAAAAGGAAAGAGCTGAATTCTGTCCAAAGGCAAATGCACAGAGCAGCTTTCAAAATCACTTACGCTATAAGCACAGCAGTTTGGCTGGCATGGATCTGTGACGCTGCTAAGGACAGGAGTTAAAATGACTACTGGTATATCTGAGAGGGAATATCAGTTCCTTAGATCAACTGCAGCAGTGCTAAAATGATCACACTTCTGACTTGTGCTAACTACTACATTGATGGTTTCTCTTTAGCTCACAAAAATGTACGGGTAACCTCCCAGATGCATTGTCATTGGAAATTAGTATGACACATATTTAGATCCTTGTATCACGTTTATTCCTATACTAGTTCATAATGTTTTCCCCATTTCTAAAGAGGGAAACAGAAGATTTAGCTTAATGCCAAGCAGATGGCAACTGATCACTTTATCCTCAACCAGTATATACGACAGAAACCAAGAAATTTGAAAGTGCATGTGCATTTAACACCTGATTCAACAGTCAAAACACTGAAAAGATTCCCATCCAAAGGAGGATATTTTGCATACATAAGCATTTTTACTGAATTCACTTACAATTTCTTAAAGAAGCAAATCACAAGGCATATGAAATCACTCCAAAAGGAGTTGGAAGCTTTGCTTCATGTCTTACAATATCAAGCTAGAATTACAGGAGCCTCCTTTTGGCCTTTGACTGAAGTGAAGCCCGCAAAATTTTCTGTGATCTTTGCTGGACCTAGCTCATCAGAGACTACAGCGTCTACCACATCTTTCTAGCATCAATGGCTCCAGACAAGTGCTTCTGTGCCTGGAGTCTGGAGTCATCAGTCTGGAGAGCCCACAAACATGGGGTTCAACCAGCACCTGAAGAGACAATGGCTGTGATGGCCGTCTGCTTCTCCTACTCCTGCTGCTTTGTGCGACAAACAGAAGCCTAAGAAAGGTGTGCTTCCAAAAATATCCATCCATAAGCAAAGGTTTAAAGAAAATATATATGTTATAATAAGTATAGGCCTTTCTAAGAAGAGTGCAGCAGAAATAAAAATTCCGTTTCTTTGATTGCAATTAAAAAAAAAAAAAAAAAAGTGGTAGGAGAAAAATCCTCCCAGGTTCTTTATTTTCACAGTTTAATTTCTCTGTCAGGCCTGTGATTGCTATGCTGCTATTTTCCTGATTACCATCCAACTATCATTTCATTGTCCAATTCAAAATTTCATAACTAGTTTTTACACTTATTTTTCATTTTATTAAATTCCCTTTCTAGACACGGAATCAGTACTTTTAACAGCAATAGTTCATAACTCAACAAGGCAACACTGTTCACTGATTCACTGGTAACAAATCCCAATTCCCTATTCAAGTTAAACAAGCAACAAAGCCACCTCATTTTGCTAACATTTAGCTTAGTGAAAGGTGTCAGTCTGCCCAACCTGTGATGCTACATAAGTTCAAATTTCTTCAGTTCCCTTGAGAACTCTCCAGTCTGTTGTTTGTTTATTGATGGTTTGGTGTTTGTTGTTTTTTTTTTTTTTCTTTCTCTCCCTTTCTTCTCGCAAGGGGTTTTTGGGGTCATTGCACTTCTTGAATATTTGAATGAATGGCCTAGTCACTATCCAGTAGCAGGCACCATTAGTCTTAGCAAAGAAAATTTCATTAGAACTTGTCATGGGAATAAGGTGGCTGAATACTTATCGATTCGTCACAAAAAGGGTTGGAAACATCACTGGAGTGGCAATTTGTAACCCACGATGGTGACCAGAAAAGTGGCCGAGTTTCTTGCCATTTTGTTGGTTTTATATACTAAGCTTGATGGTATTAAATGGGATCAATCCCAAGTACTACTCCAAAAATAAACAAAAGTAAATGGGTGCTCACTGCAAACAAAATTAATCTGAAATGGCAATTGGGATGTGGTATTCAGTGGTGTATCAGTCTTTCTACTAATAAGACTGCTTAAGATGACAGAAAATAAAACTGCATGCAGATCAACTTAAAAAATATTTTTATACAATTCTCAGCTGACATTTCAGACTTGTGCTGCAATTTTTACTTAACGTCTCATAAGTTCATTATAAGTGAATTCTACCAGATTATTGTTATTATCAACAGTATTAACAGCAGAATTAATAGTTAATGATTTTTCAAATAAATACATCAAAAATATTTTCTCATATTTTTAACAATACAAAAAACTAAGAAATATGCTGAACTTTACTTGCAATTCAAAGAACAACTGCTTACCACCAGTAAATCATTAAATCAAATAAAACTGAGAATTGTTAAGGTCAATAGCATATACAGAAACATCTGCTCAAAAGTAGTCTGTCCTCAATGCTCATAAATGTCATGCTAAAAAAATCACACTTTATAATTTAAAAGAACAAATATGGCCAAAATCTAGCATGCTAAGGAGATTCAGTTACCTCAGAGCTTCCAGCATGGCCAGATATGACATCTGAGTAATGGAAATTGCTACGGTAACTTGATTTAAGTGGGGGGGGAGGTATTTCTACCACTCTGATTGCTACCTAATGGCAGATCCTTAGTCTAGCCAATATACCCTTAACTTCATAGGTGCTTCATAGTCTCAGACTACAGCTTTGCTACTGTAGATTCATCTAGCTGTGTTATATGTATTTTTATAGGATGGAGGTTACTTTATCTTCAGAGGAGTCAAGAATAATAAAATTATTATTTTATTTTTTTTGAAAACATTTGGTAATGTGTAAATCACAACTATTTTAATGCTAATTCGTTCTGATGTATTTTTGTAATGCATATGTGACAAATAATGTAAACTATCATGGAGACAAATCTGAACTTTTGCTTTCTGAAATGATACATTCTATTGAACCTCTGCAGCATCTTTTGTGGTGGAAAAGACCCGTCTCTATTCAAGTATAAGTTTCATTTATCTTCACACCTGCCTTATTCTATGTCAGGGGAAAGGTTTTCTAGGATGATAATGGACTGAATGCCATTAACTTTCCTTTCTGTACACATTAACCATAGGAGTTACCTGTTCTGAGAAAAATACAGAACTGGCAATCAAGCATTTATTTATTTATTTCAAATTAACATTCCAGACTTTTCTTGTCGTCATTTAGTGGGTGTTATTTGCATTTTGAACCATATGTGAATCACCCCCTCTTTCAGAAAATCTCATACCAGTTCCACACTGCTCATTAAATATAATGAGATACCCCTTATACACAAGCAACCAAACAAGCTCTGACTGACTGCATCTGTCAAAAACATTGCAAATATGGGCTTACAGAAAAAGACAACGGCTGACCTTATGCCTCTGTCT